TACAGAACCCAACCCCTCTGCCTGAGATCCACACAGGTACAGAACCCAGCTCCTAACCTGAGATCCACACAGGTACAGAACCCAACTCCTAACCTGAGATCCACACAGGTACAGAACCCAATCCCTCTACCTGAGATCCACACAGGTACAGAACCCAACCCCTCTGCCTGAGATCCACACAGGTACAGAACCCAGCTCCTAACCTGAGATCCACACAGGTACAGAACCCAACTCCTAACCTGAGATCCACACAGGTACAGAACCCAACCCCTCTGCCTGAGATCCACACAGGTACAGAACCCAACCCCTAACCTGAGATCCACACAGGTACAGAACCCAACCCCTAACCTGAGATCCACACAGGTACAGAACCCAACCCCTAACCTGAGATCCACACAGGTACAGAACCCAACCCCTAATCTGAGATCTACACAAGGTTTGTCTGGGGTTCAGATTGGTTGGGGTTATTACAGGGTCAGAGTTGGTCTAGAGTTAGATTTGGGGTTGTTACAGGGTCAGAGTTGGTCTAGAGTTAGATTTGGGGTTGTTACAGGGTCAGAGTTGGTCTAGAGTTAGATTTGGGGTTGTTACAGGGTCAGGATTGGTCCAGGGTTTGAGTTGGGGTTTTTACAAAGTCAGGATTGGTCCAGGGTTTGAGTTGGGGTTGTTACAGGGTCAGGATTTGTCCAGGGTTTGAGTTGGGGTTGTTACAGGGTCAGGATTGGTCCAGGGTTTGGGTTGGGGTTGTTACAGGGTCAGGACTGGTCCAGGGTTAGAGTTTGGATTTTTAGAGTATTTGTCGTCCATCACCCACTTGTTGCATTAAGAGATTTTAATAATTCAGGACATTTAAGTCTTGGAGGTATCGATGTGGGGTCTGTTTGGAGTCTTGGGGTATCACAAACTTGATGGTGATGATATCAAGTTGAAATCACGTACAGTTTTTGAGATATCTCAGAAATGACAGAGGTTTTGGATTCTGCTCCAATGCAGTAGACTTTGAAGTAAAGATTTGATATAAACTTTAACTTTTTGAGTTTTAAAGAAACATTTTCTGTCTGAGGTTAAAACCATTCCACTGAAAATATGAACTGACCCAGAACCAACCAATCCCAGAGAAGTCTGGATCACTGAGGAAAACAAAGGACTGAGGTCTGGATCAGGTGTTTTTAACCTTGGTGGTGAATTAAATGCACCTGATGACTCACCTGCTCTGTTTATCCCAGTGTGTGTTTGTTTACACTCCAGCAGCTGGTCACATGACCAACGACCCAAAGGCCTACAGGTATGATGAGGGATGAAATTGTCAGACTGGATAATTTGAAATGAATTATACAATCTGATGAATGAATCTACATAGTATAGAAAGAAATGAGTTTGATTTTACTAAAAGTTGTTTTCTTTTTTCCACCACAGGCTAAAATCTACTTCTCGTTTCCTGGAGAGCTCCTGATGAGGATGCTGAAGATGCTGATTCTTCCTCTCATCACCTCCAGGTACGAAGAACGAGGAGCTGAAGTTTGGTTGTATTTCTGCTGACGTGAGAGAACAGGCAGTGACGGTGTCTTCATTTGTCTGCTTGTTAGCAAAGATCTTGGACTGAGTTTTGAGGATGAGTCTCAGCTACTCTCACACCAAATTTGATAAAACATCTGTTAAACTGACGAGTTTCAGCCATGTTTGTGTTTGTGAGGTTGGTTAGGTGTGGCGGCCATCTTGAATCAGTTGRAGACAAATATCCAGAACCAGCTGTTGAACAGGTGGACTCACCTTGAGGAACTCATGGTCCACCCATCAAACCAGCAGCCTTCCACCGTCATCGTAGTGCATTCTCGATTGATTGATGATGSCTTTATTCTCATTGTACAAAGCACAATGAGAGAACACCCATTCAAGAAGAGGATTCTGGGTAACCATCTGTCCTCTGGTCTGGTTCTGGTCCAGAAGTCTTGTGGTTCCTTCAGATGAAACAAGCCTACTGCCATGACCTTTGACCTTTAACCTGTTAGCTGAGGCCTGTAGAGATGGAGCTTGTGTCTTTTGTACACGGTCTGACCTTCGAGATGTATTTTTTTAAAAAGACTAGCAGCTGTGATAATGTTGCCCACTTGTGAAGAGTCAGTCGAATAATGGACTCCAGATGGTTTGGAAATGACCTTTGACCCTTCACAGATTTCAGAACAGCAACAGTTTCTTCTCTGAGGTCTTTGGACTCAGTTGGACAGTTTTTTCTTGAATCTGTGTTCTGGTTTTTAGCTGACTGAATGGATCTAGTCTCAGAACTCTAGTTGTCTTTGTGTCCTTGTTGAGTTCTGGTCTCATTTCTTGCGGTCCAGTTTGATGTCGGGCCTGTCGTCGATGGAGTCCAAAGCGTGCTGCAGGATGGGTGTCCTGACCGTCACCTACTACCTGTGGACCACCTTCATAGCTGTGGTGGTCGGCATCATGCTGGTCCTCATCATCAAACCTGGCGTGGGGACGGAGATGGACAGCAACCGGCTGGGCGGTGGACCCGTCATGACATCGGCAGATGCCCTGCTTGACTTGATCAGGTGAGAGAGGTCAGAGGTCACCTGTCGGATCGGCAGGGTCAGTCTTTTAAAGCTAGGTTTAGCTTTTAGCTACCATTATGCTACTTCTAGCTAACTTTTAGTTTCTTTTAGCTTCAGGCTAGCCTTGTGCTCCTTTTAGCATGTTGGCCCATCTCCTGTACCATGATACCATCACAGGACTCCCAGATACTGGACTTAGACCTCAGATTGAGAGGAGCCAGTGCAGAGCTGAAGGTCAGGGTCCAAAGATGCCAACAGAACCACATCACAGCCCCTGAGATTCCACAAACCAGACCCCACCTTCTCTTGCTTTGTTCTACTAAGACCAGTCCGTCCATAAAGTGACCCAGACGCCCCCACAGATCACCTCGGAGTAAACTGGATTAAAGTTAACTTTGGGGCTAAACTCTAGAGCCTCCTGTAGGTTTATTTGGAATGTTCAATGTGACTGGGTCCACCGAGGGTTTGGGTCTGTTTTGATCTTTTGACACAGAATGGATCTGTTCCACCTGCCTGACTGTCAACAGAATGTAGAACTCTTTCTCACTCATCAATCCCATTAGAGTTGGGGCTGATGGCGGTATTTTTAGTAATCCTGCAGGATGAGTGACAGATTAACCAAGTCACTGATCTCTGCTGCGGCACGTTGGCTGACCGTGCTCTCGTGCCGCTTTGGACCGAGCTGCACGAGCCACGTATCATCATCCTGTTGACCTTTGACCCCACGCCTCAGAGACCACCTTGATTCTCCATGAGCAGGTCTGGGATGGCCAGCTAAAGACCATTAATTAGTCAGTGTAACCCTTACCCATGTCCACCACCCAAGGCTCYTACAGTGTACCAGGACTGAACCACAGAGATGTAAGGACTTCTGGTCTGATGGATKGGGTGCATTTTGCTTTTACCTGGAGAAGACACGATGCATTATGGAAAAAACAAAGCTGGTGGAGGAAGTGTTACTTGAAAAAAGTTTGACTGGAAAACTTCTGGTCCAGATGTTCCTGTGAATCTTCCTTTGACCAGACTTCAGAGGTTCACAAGAAGCCTTCAGAGGTCTATAAGAAGCTGTCAAATGTCCACAAGAAGCCTTCGGAGGTCTATAAGAAACCTTCAGAGGTCCAAAAGAAGCCTTCAGAAGTTTACAAGAAGCCTCCAGAAGTCCATAAGAAGCCTTTAGAAGTCTATAAGCAGCCTTCGGAGGTCTATAAAGAGCTTCAGAAATCCATAAGAAGCCTTCAGAGGTCTATAAGAAGCCTTCAGAAGTCTATAAGATGCCTTCAGAGGTCCATAAGAAGCCTTCAGAAGTCTATAAGAAGCCTTTGGAGGTCTAGAAGGAGCCTTCAGATATCCATAAGAAGCCTTCAGAGGTCTATAAGAAGCCTTAAGAAGTCTATAAGATGCCTTCAGAGGTCTATAAGATACCTTCAGAGGTCTATAAGAAGCCTTTAGAGGTCTATAAGAATCCTTTGGAGGTCTATAAAAAGCCTTCAGATGTCCATAAGAAGCATTCAGAGGTCTATAAGAAGCCTTCAGAAGTCTATAAGAAGCATTCAGAGGTCTATAAGAAGCCTTCAGAAGTCTATAAGAAGCATTCAGAGGTCTATAAGAAGCCTTCAGAAGTCCATAAAAAGCCATTATAGGTCCATAAGAAGCATTCAGAGATCCATAAGAAGCCTTTAGAGGTCCGTAAGAAGCCTTTAGAGGTCCGTAAGAATCCTTTAGAAGTAAACAAGAAGCCTCCGTAGGTCTATAAGAAGCCTTCAGAAGTCTATAAGAAGCCTTCAGAGGTTTGTCTATAAGAAGCTTTCAGAAGTCTAAAATATGCCTTCAGAAGTCTATAAGAAGTCTTAAGAACTTTATGAGTATCCACGAGTTACTGTTTTCTCTTCTCATTCCACAGAAACATGGTTCCCTCCAACCTGATTGAAGCCACCTTTCAGCAGGTAAGACCTGACAAGTCAAAGGTTCTGTCCTTCCTTCCTTCCTTCCTTCCTTCCTTCCTTCCTTCCTTCCTTCCTTCCTTCCTTCCTTCCTTCCTTCCTTCCTTCCTTCCTCCCTCCCTATAACAACTCCACTCTCTCTCCTTAGTACAAAACGGACCTGATCCCAATCCTCAGGGTTCCAACCAAAACCATCCTGCCCAACTTCGTCTATGTTGTCCCTGATGAGAACGACCCCAAAGGTCAAACGGTGTACCTGGAGCTGACTCCGCCCCCTGACGTCATCTACAAGACGAGTCCCGGCAGCAGTCAGCAGATGAACGTCCTCGGCATCGTCATCTTCTCTGCCACCATGGGTCAGTTTGGCTTTTCCTTCTTGTTATTCGTCTGTTTCCATTATTATTTTAGATTTGCTAAGAGATGTCAACCTGGAGTTTCAAAATAAAAGTCCTTAAAGATCTACAAATGAAGAGTTTGTCTGTCACACTTCAGAGGTCTAAGCTCCTGCTGGGCTTGAAACAAACTGATTGGTTGATGTGTGTTGTGATTAAGAAATGGTTCTGGTTCTGCAGGCCTTCTCCTGGGCCGGATGGGAGAACGTGGAGCTCCTCTGGTTAATGTGTGTCAGTGCATCAACGAGTGTGTGATGAAGATCATCAACGCTGCCGTGTGGTGAGCTGAAGCTCTGATTTCTTTCTACTTTCCCTCCGATYCTCCAGACATTCCTGGTGTCYGTTAAAGTGGTTCTGGATCAGCAGACCTCCAGAACTTAGAGCATTGTACCAATGGCGGCGGCGGACTAGGGGGGCCAGGGGGCCATTGGCCCCCCCACTTTAAAGTAAGAATTTTGTATTTTGTGCCAGATCTCTGGCCCAAAACTYTGCGCAGCCATCCGATCTCTAGATCCACGCTGACGGGTTGTGGAGAGAAAAAAAAGGAACCCATGGTTCTTTACAGGTCCGGTCCAAATGCTCACCTATATTTGACCCAGAGCAGATAACTTCCTGTCAGGGTTGACAAATATTTGCGTGGAGTTTGTCATTATTGTTGCTGTCCAAACGAAGATGCAGTTTGTTGCTGCGCTGCTGACAGGTTGCTTTGGAGAAAATCCTGCCAGACGAGGAAATGTGTCATTTTCCCTTCAAAATAAAGTTTGTTGTTTACTTCATTACTTAAATCGTTTGCTTTACTCAGCATCTCTTGTGTAAAAAGACTGCGTTCCAGCGCAAGTTTCTGACCCGCTGTTCCAAACAGTGTGGATATTATTTACATGTGTTTAGTTTATTCATGGTCATTTATAACGAAGTCGGATTTACTATGATGATTATTCCTAACAAATGATTTAATTAAAACAATCACAGGTGAAAACTTCATTATTTAGTTGTTACTTGATGATGAGTCGATACAGGTAAAGCTTGATGC